CCTACAAATGCCTTGAGAGCTTGAGAGCTTGGTTGGAGGTTCTAGCAGGGGAGCCCAGCTACTCGTATACCCTTGACCGAGGAAACGATCCTCCTCTATCGGGGTGGTCGTCCTCTTCGACCGAGCGCACAGCTTCGGGAGAGACGCACATGGAGCGGTGAGGGAGGAAGGGGACACCCGCCTAGCCAGCCAGATCAGCCGAATCAACCCTGGCGATCAATGGGGTGACAGATGTCGCAGCCAGATCGCCCTCACATCCGAAAACCTGAGGGGGTGCAGGAGCTATATAAAACCCAACTTCCTTGCAACTTTTCACATAGGTTGAGTTCATTTATGCCGCTGCACTAGGATACCGCAACTAAAACCAAATCAGTACATTATAATAAAGATAATATACCCTCCAAAATGTTGAAATTGAAGCTAAACTGCATGAAATCGGGGCCGACCTTGTACTACCCAGAATTCCTTGCGGCTGGGTGGGGCATGCTAAGCACCTCCGTCTCCATTGGTGTAGCCTCAGCTCCCGCCCGCCCACCGCGCGTCTCTCTCCCCTAATCTTTTAGCGCCTGTCTCCCCTGGGTCCTCTGTCCTCGCCCTTCTTTGCCGCGGTGTCTCTGACCGCACCCCGGTGACAGGTAGGCTCCCCCTCCAGGGCCGGCGGCGTGGACAGTGGACAGGACGCGAGGACTAGGGGTGCTGCTCGTGTCGCCTCTTCCCGGGCTGCCACGACGCAAGACGATCAGTGCAAAATGTGGGTCCCGGGGGTGGAGCAGGTCCCTCCGCAGCCCTAGCTGCATTTGGAAAACCTGAGATGGTCAGATCGTAGATCGGTGCAGGATCCGAAATACAGCACTGCTGCACAGAAGTCCCCAGCTTCCCAAGACCCAGAATAGGAAATCCTAAACAGGAGCAGTGTGAAAGCCAGTCCTGGTTCTTCTGTCCTTACCCCAGCATTTAAAAATAATGGCTTTTTTTCTTCTTCTTCTTCTTCTTCTTCTTCTTCTTCTTCTTCTTCTTCTTCTTCTTCAGTCCTGGTTCTTCTGTCCTTACCCCAGCATTTAAAAATAATGGCTTTTTTTTTTCTTCTTCTTCTTCTTCTTTTTAGCTGAGCAAAGAATGACGCAGTAATCAAACAGGTTCCTGCGCTCAAATCTTGAATATTGCGGCAGCCCCCGCCCTGGGCTGGGGACCCTCTTGCGTCTGTTTTCCAGAAAACTCAAGAGCCGTCCTGGCAGAAAGACCCAAGCTGCACTACCCCGACGGTAGAGGCCGCATGGAGTCCGACAGATGGGTCCCGGCCGCCGCCGGAGTGGGTGTCCTGTCCACTCCCTTCACAGGTCTGCCGCGCCGCTGCGGGGCCTTCGAGGAAACCCTAAGTTCCCGAGCGCTTAGCTTCCTCCACCCGAGCCACTGTCGTGCCTCCCACCAGCGGAGGGTTTCTTCTTGTCAATGGATTTCTCTTCATAAATGGAATGTAATCCATGGCATTCTGTATCCCTTTCAACCATTAGGCTTTTGGTTTTTGTTTTTTTGGGGTTGTTTTCGTTTTTGCCTTCTAACCTATCATTAGTAAATATTTACTAATAAGGAGAAAAGGAATTAACCAAAAACTTTCCAGTTTCTCCCAGAACTTTGATTATCTAATCTCTGGGTAAATGTCCTGTGCCTGGCTCAGCCCGGCAGCTTTGGCATCTTGTCCGCATGGTGCTTTTATTTTTATTCTGTTCATTTGCTTTTTGTGAAAATTTTCAGATACTGAGAGACAGCGGCATAAATCCTATGTGTGCAGCCATCACCCAACTTCAGAGTGGCCTGATGGGTTTCCTCTGTCCACCTTTTAAAAGCAAAATTCAAGCCTCATGCCGTTCCATCTGAGAGTGCTGTGTTTCAGTATTTATTTCTAACAGACAGATTTTAAAACATAACAATGCCAGCATCATACCCAACAAAATTAACAGTTCCTTATTGTCATTTAGCTGTCTGTTTATCACAGACATGTTTAAGTAGTTTGTTTCAGTCTTGATCTAAACAAATACACATTGCATTTGATTTTATATCTTCCAGTATTTAAAAAATCTGTAACACTTTCCTCTGCATTAAAAAAAACTACTAAGTTACATTCAGGAATCATTTTAAGTCGGTAGAAGATTTATAAAATTATGTCTTATAACTCCCAGCCTTTCCTAATAACACGTTACATAACCATTTCAAACTAAGAAACTAATGGTGGGACATGACTAAATACAGATTTATTGAGGTTGCTATTTCTGGATCCAGAGTTATTTTTAGTCACCACGTTTCTTTAGTTGCCCTTCATCTGTGACAGTTTTCAACCTTTCCTTTGCTTTTCACTTCCTGGACAATATCGGTCAGGCTTTTTTTTTTTTTTTTTTGTAGAAATCTCTATGGTTAGGGCGCTGGCTGTCTCTGCGGGCTAAGGTTCATCATTTGGCGAAGGCCACATCCGCCACCTTCCCACATGTTCTCATTGCTCTTTCTCCCTGCATTGTTTGGAAGCAAACCATTAAGTTGTTCTGCCCAAGTCGCGAAGTCCCCAAAGACCACCAAGGAGTCAGGTCCGATGCAATTGCAAGAGGAGTTTATTGTAAGCTCGAGGTGTCACCTGTACTCTCTGGTGTCACCGTCACAGCGGCTTCAGACTGAGAGTCCAGATCCATTTTTGAAGCGGGTTTATATAGGATTAAGGAAACTTTTTGTTTATATAGTTTTTATTTTTAGCTCTCACTTATCATTGGATAATTAAGGGGTACTGGGAGGGCTTTTACATATCATTGGATATTCAAGGGATACCGGGAGGGCACGTATTGGAAAATCACCTAATGCCTACATTCGCAGAATCAATTCCTCTTTTTATTAGATCATCTGATTTTGCAAGCTAAGATATCAGTATGTGACTATGTCAGCTATAATTAATTCCTATATCAGCTATAACTAATTCCTACATTGATTAAATCAAACGAAAAGAAGTTTATCTCAACATCTTAAAAAGAGGAACCGAAGCAGAGTGGAGATGCCCTAGGATAACTTGCCCTAAAAAGAGGAACAGAAGCAGAGAGAAACTGTCACATAAAATGATATTTTACAGAAAGGAGCTTTTATATTTACCCTATTTTGGGTAAAGGGCTTGGAGCCCACCTTGACCTAGAAACTTGGTCCTTATAAAGTCAAGTCCATACACACCCAAAATGAGGGGAACTGTGTCCCACCCCCTGGAATTCTTATGTGAGGAAAGTTTGTGTCCCCCTTCTTATTTATTGTCCAGATTGTTCCAGCTTTGGTCAAAGGGACCCTTTTTGGTTTGTCTTTTTCTTCTCAGTGCTTCAGTTCCTTCTGACAGTATAAGGTGCTGCAGGCTTATATTGTATTCTCACTGCCCTTGCAGTAGAATCAACAGTCTTTTGCAATAGTAAATTGGGTTAAGAGCCAAGGTCTGAGTGCTAGGTTTATACGTTAGTTTTGAAGCCATTTATTTATGGAAATAACTGCTCTGCAAAATTCTCCCTGCTCTAGATTTGGCTCGTTTGCCTTAGGGACGTGGCCTTGAGGGAGCATGGTGAAATGAGACTACCCTCCTTTTAACATTCTCATTGATTCTTCACTCTTCCTGTAAACTTCTCTTGGCCCCTGAAGTGTGATCCAGTCCAGGCTCTGTTTTGTCTCTGTTCTAAGTTGTTTGTTCTTTTCCTCCACTCTGTGTTTACTCCTGCACACCAGGGACTGTTTTGTGTAAGCAGTCTGGTTTTCAGAGCTTGCCCGCGGTGCTTAGGAGATGCAGTCTTCTACACACAGAGATTCCCCCATCACCTGTTTAGCTGGTGCTTTTAAAAGCAACATTGCTAGGAATTACAAAAGCAGCTTTTGTATTTCTGTCATTTCATCTGAATTGACTAACAATTCTTATAATGAATAATTGTCACTTTTTACCTTAAAATACCATTCACAGAGGAGATGCTCTATAATAAAATCAACTCGCAGAATAATGAGTTATTACCCTAGTGACTTCCAAAGATGACAAATGTGGGTTTGGGGTTTTATTTATATGTCTTTATTTTTACTTTCTGCATGTTATTATAACTTGCCAGCCAGTGGTTGTTTTTGTTTTTTTTAATCATTTTGTAAATAACAGTGGTACCTTGGTTCACAAACAATTTATTCTGTGATTTTGGAAAACTTAGTCACATTTGTGTTTCTGTGGGAAAGGGTGCTAATGTTGTGTTTGTCACCCGATGAAGAGTTTGTAAACAAAAACAAAAATCAAACGCTTTTGTTTTCAAACCAAGTTGTTCACACACAAAAAGCGCTTGTGAACATGGTGTCTCAGTACTTGACATCATTTTTATATACAAATCTTCTGACTTCTACAAGAATTTGGAAGATCTGGTGATGCTGGGCCCTCATTTCTACAGGGAAGCAGTCACTGATCTAAATGCGGATTTCCCTACCAATCCCTCTTGTCTCGGTATTTATTTTCTGTTATATTAAGGGGAAAGTGAAAATTTTTGTGGTTCCAGGACCTGAACTAAATTTACCTCCCTTAGTTATGTCACTTGTCTCACCCTGTCATTCATTAATATCATTTGTCTAACCAAGGTATGCTTCTGAGTTTGTTATTCTTGGTTTCTTTTATGGGGTTTGAATGGATTCTGTATACGTATGTAATATCGTACTTTGTCAAATTCTTCTCCTCTCTGTCTTCATTCCACCCTGCTTCTCCTACTCTCCTGTGAATCAAGAGGTCTTTGTTTTGGTAAGAGAATCCCAACTTTAAAGTAGTTAAGCAAAAACATGGTCATTTGACCACCTGCTCCAGCCCAGTCACAGTGGGCAGGCAGACGGGGCACAGTAATGAGCGAGTCCACCCTGCAGACGGGTGAAGGAGCCATCTCGGTCCCTTCAGTAGGGCCAGCTGCATGGGCGATAGTGATTATATGCAAGAGTCACTGCTGGGGAACCGCTCCACATCTCTGTGAGGAGACTTTTTCACTAAATTTGTGCCCACGTAGATTCAAAACAGGTGGGAAAAGTTGATGATGCCAGGTGTCCCAGGAGAGAGTGGCTCAGCCTAATGTGCAAGAACCTCCCGTCTGCATGAGGAGGCAGCTAGAACCCGCTGCAAAACGGCCACCCCAGTTCGGAGAGCCGGTGTCCACAGTCTCATCACTCAGGCCTTTCTTGACACCACTGTGGGCTGCGTGTTGGTCACTAATACTTGAGACTTCATTTGCCTTGGAAAACCCAGCAAGTCCCTGTGTTGAGAAACAGGGGCACGCTTGTAAAAGAAAAGACAAAATGGCCAGAAACTCATGATGCAGGAGCAGTTCACCTAGAAGAAAGGGTGTGTGGGTGTGGGAAGGGGCAGATCTGTGCAGAATCCTACGCGAGGCCCTGCTCTTGGGCATGTCACTCTGCCCTGGCAGCTTGGGCTCTTACACAGGACTGTCTTTTCCTCTGTCCCGTCCTCTTGTTCCTGATCCCAGTGCAAATGTCTCTTACTTGGTAGTGGTTTTATAAAGCTTGATACAAAACTAGCCTAGTGACAAGCAGCACACATTTTCACATGTGCTCTCAAAAGTGAAAAGTCAGAATCCCTTGGAAGGACTTGTTTTTTAAAATGCATATTTCTAGGTCCTTCCAAGAACTGAATGTAAATTGAGGTCTAGGTCTGTCTGGGCTTTAACCCATCCGTCCCCCTCCTTCCCATGTGTTCTGAGTTGTAAAGGTTGGTTGTAAAAGTCTGAGTACAGCACATACCTACACCTCTGGGTGTTAGAACAAAAGCCCTGGACTCTCACTCTGAGGCTACTGCTTGGTAGGCATCAGGTGACAACCTCTGTGGGAACCAAGGCCCCTTTTGTCCCACTATGGGGAGCCTGACAATGGAAGCCAAGCCTACACCTCGTAGTCCTGGTTCTCCCCTCAGCGTAGACACTGGAGATAGATGCCTGGGGACCTGGCGAGGCTGCAGTGTTCAACTCTGCCCGCCTTGGATGACTCCAGGGTACAGCGCAGACCCGGGCCTAGTGGGGACTCATCCTGGGATGCTTGGCATTAGCTGGAAACATTCTAGAACATGTACACAAACCGATGTCGCCAGAAGGGAGCTTGTTTGCATTGTTTCTCTCCCCCCACCCCAGCTTTCAAACTTGAAAACTTTCATACCTACAGGCAGTTGTGATTAGTATAATGGATGCCTTTCGACTCAGTTCATTTTGTTACATTTGCTGTCTCCCTCTCTTCATTTTTCTTAATCACATAAAACAAGAAAGAAATAATTGTCCTAATAACTACAAATGAACACCAAGTTGACAACATCAGGTGTCCAATCCGTATTCAGATTTTTCCTACTGCTTCCCAAATGTCTCTGAACTGTTATGTGTCTATCCAGTACATGAAACGATTCCCCTGGTCTAGGGACTAATCAGGATGCAGTTGTTTGGTTGGTGTGTCTGTTCTCTTTTCAACAAGAACAACAGTATCTGCCTTTCCCCTTGATGCCATTGGTTCTTGAAGAGTCCAGGCCATTATCTCACAGAATGGCCCAATCCTGAGTAGACCCAATTTCTACCTTTTTGATTAGATTTGGGTTAAATGTTTTTTAGATGATTTTGTAGGCTTTACTGTGGCCTTCTCAGTAGGTCACAACAAGAGGGACAGGATGTCCACGTACCTCTCCCCCACAGTTAGCTGTTTCCTAATTAGATGGGTAGTGAGATCTCTAGACCCTCTCATTACATACTTCTCCTTTATTATAAGTAACTTAGGGGGTGATGCTTGGAGACTGTGTGACTATTCTCTACCACAATGCTTCCAGCATCCACGATCTTTTATTATCATTCATTTACACAAATTCTTCACTAATGAGTTCTACTTCTTGTACAAAACAGCCTTTTTCTTTTTAAAAAATATCATTTATAGACATAGAGAAATATTATCATTTATACACATAGAGATTTTGTTGTTGTGTGTTATAAATCCAAACCATGGCCCAGATTTCATTGCCTTCGCCTTTGATACGCTTTGTTTATCTGTAGCCCGCACTTTCTTCCTGGCTCAACAGAATCAACCTCTTGTAAAAGTAGTTGAAACCACAATGGGAATGCTAAGTGTGCTCTTTTTCTGCTCCTTCAGTTCTGCACCTACAATGACACTTATCTTCTTGGGGGGGGCATTTTTATTTTTTAATTTAGCTTGACAAGGAATTTCTGGAAACGAAAGAGCAATTACAGAAGCTGAGAATGGTATGAATATGAAACAAGTGTCTATAGTGCTGATTTCTTAGAAAAGCAGAGATGTTAAAAACATTAAGAATTTGGGGCTGGGGGTTAGCTCAGTGGTTCCGCTGCCTGCTTCACAAGTGCAAGGTCCTGAGTTCGATCCCCATACCAGAAAGAAAAAAAAAAAGAATAATGTCCTAAGCCAGATGTGGTGACACATCCCAGTATTCAAGAGTTTGAGGCAGGAGAATCACAAGCTTGAGGCCAGCCTAGACTACACAGTGAGTTCAAGACCAGCCTGGACTACACAGCAAGACTCTAAAGGAGATCAAGAGATGGAGGGAGGTAAGAGGGAGAGGAAGGAAAGAGGATGAAAAGTAGAATTGAGATCTGTTATGTACACACACCAACTTCCCACAACAAATGTAAACATTATGTAATACAAAACATGTACTAATAAAAAATAAAAACCAGGAAAAAATAAAAAAACAACAGTGTCCTAAAACCAGAAAAGCAATCAATCAGGAAATACTTAGCTGAAATTACCAAGAAGTCGCTTCTTGTTTAGGAGTTGTATAAAAGCAAACTAAAGGGTGGGAGCACTTCTCCCCCATCTAAGTGAACAGTCTTTCTCCATCCTTGTCTCCTGTTTTCCTTTCTCCAACCTCTTTCTGTCCCTTTCTTTCTTTTCCTCGCCCTCCCCTCCTCTTAGTCTTCCCTATCTCCTTTCATCTGAGCTCATCGCCTGTTTACCACAAAAGTGAAATCAATCAAAGGCTCCATGTTAACCCTGACCGGCCCTGCTCCCTCTACACCCATCCTTGGTGTGGGAGCCAGAAGCAGGTTCTGAGTAACTATCAAGCAGTGCTGTCTCCCTTCTGTCCAGCCAGGCCAGTTCAAGGCTCCCTTGAGAAGTACTAGTCCTCCAGGCTTGTGACACCACCTTTCCTGTGTGACACCAGCCCAAAGTCACTAGGCACAAGGCCTCTCCGTTGGCCTGTCCCCAGTCCTTCTGGAGGGCTGCGCTGATTTCTGCATCTGCCTTTCCCACCAGGGAGAATGTAAGAAGTGTTTGGTTTAGGCTTGTTGGAGAAAGTACTGAGTTCATCTCAACCAGCAACAACCCAAGTTGAGAGTAGGTGGCTTTGGCTGTGGAATAGAGAGTTCTGTGATCAGACTTTCTGAGCACAATGCTGCCCAACAGAACTCTCTGCAGGGACGGGAATGTCCCTTTCTACTCTGTCCATGAGGCACCTACTAGCTACACCTGACTGCTGAGACTTGAAGTGTGTCTGGTATGACCCAGGATTTGAGTTTTAATTTTTTTAAATTTCAGTTGCTCAGTTGAGGCTTAAATTGCCTCGCTTAACTAATAATGGTCACTGTACAGGCCAGCACAACTCTGAAGAAGTATTTTTATGATGTTCCCCACCCCTACTTGTCATTGTGGGTATGTCTTTTTCCTGTTTATAACAGTGTTGGTTTTCAGGCTTCTCTTATGGCTAAATTTGCTCCCCTGCATGAGGTTCAGGTTATCAGTCATAGGGGAGATTTCCACTGCTCCCTCAGGCTGTGTCCCTGCCGTCCTTGCCATTGACTGCAGAGCAGGGAAGAAGAGAGCATGTCTCACCCTGGGCTTTCATCCTAGGTAGCCACCTGCTGTTCCATCAAGTGTCCGTGGTTGAAATCGATGGGCAGAAGTTGGTGCTGACCTGAGACATCCTTCATTACATGGCTGAGAAGCACCAGCTCTTTGGCAGGGGCCTCAAGGAGAGAACCCTGTACTGTGGCACCGCTCTTCGGCCTTAGCTGATTAGCTGCCTTCTACAGCACGTCCCATCTCCTTTATGTCTTCTCATTAATGTGGCCAGGGCGCAAAAGTCCAGAAAGGCCATAAGGCCATAAAGTTCTACTGGAAATGCAGAACAGAGAATCTGAGTAAAACATATTTAGATCATAATTCCTAAAGTCACAATCCCAAGTGGAATCCTAAATGTGGAACTCCTGACGGATCAAAATGCCTACAGTCTAAAATCCCCAAAGAACAAAATCCTAAAAATATAATTCTGGAAAAAATCATTTAAAAAATTCTTTAAAAGACATTTACTTATATGTCACAGAGGATATTTATTTGAGAAACATAAAACTATGGTAGAACAGGCCAGGGATTTAGCTCAGCGGCACCACATCCGCCTTGCAAGCACAAGGTCCTGAGTTTGATCCTCACTACCCACCTCAAAAAATGTCAGAACTCCCCATAGGCAACTTGATACTGTAAAATAGGCAACAAAGCATTTTTGCAAACAGAAACACTCAGATACACTGACAGTACTCATTTGGACTTAATAACTGTAAGCAAATGAAGAGTGTCCAGAAAGTAGTAGGCTAGAGAGAGAGCAGTATAAGTTCCTGTCACTGTGGTTGGTAATTGTGTGCACCCAGCCATACAACCACCATTGTCTGAAATGCTGTGTTAATCCATCTGAGACACTTGACAAGATAAATCACAGCTTCAGTGACTTGCCACCACCTTGGCAGTCAGGATCTTGAGAAATTTTATCTTTCACAAATACAGATGTACAAAAGGGCGTACATTTCTTCATTTATTGAGGAAATACCAACTTTTTCATATATGTTCATAATACTCTTTCACAAAGTTGGCCTTGAAGTGTGCATTTTCAAGGGGGTCAAATTTGCAAAAAAAAAAAAGATGCACTGAATTAGAGCTTTCTAAAAGCCTGTGCAATTTATGCCTCCAGAATTGGAAATGATGCAAACATGAAATCCACAGCATAGTGAATTATAAAAATTAATACAGGCAGTTTGAAATAATGAGGGCAAAAAAAAATTGAAAAAAGATACACACACTCACACCATAAAATATAATTTGACTTTGTGGATTTCAGCATTCAGAATTTTAAACTGTTGGGATTATGATTTTTTGGTTTGTGATCACATTGGAGGTAAATGGTAGAAAAGAATTCCCTATCTGGTGTCATTTCAAATTCCAATATGTTAAATACTTTGGTACTACTTTTTACCTTTCTTGCAAATTTATTGTCATTGAGTATGAGCTACGGGAAGCTGTTGTGACACTGAAAGCTAGGAATAGGATACTTTGGATTATAATTTGTTTGTTTTGGTACTGGGTGGGGATGGAACTCAGGACCTTGTGCTTGCAAGGCAGGCGGCGGCACCACTGAGCTAAATCCTTGGCCCTGGATGATAATTTGAAACCAAGGTCTCATCATCGCACTATTGAGATGTAAGACCCTGACAGTGTCAGGCTTTATCTTGCTGCCTGATGGGTATAGTAACAGTGAGTTCCTTACGGTTCCTGTGGCTCCTTATGGGAGCCAATGAGGTGATGGATACAGTGTTTGGCACTGGTGCCCTTCAAGCATTCAGTGAGTGATAGCTCTTCACCAGGAGGCCAGTGCATGGGTGCCAGGGTAGGAATGACAAAGAGAGGGCAATCGGGACTGGGAGGCTCTCTGATTTGTGAGAGGGTTTTTTGAGCTATAGGGTTGGCTTTGCATCTTTCCTTTTAAGAGACAAGTGTAGGTAAACACTTCTTGGTGCGTAGGTTGCCAGAGCCTTAAGGAAAAGCATTCCGGACTCTTAGTTATGTAGGCTGGCGAGTTCAGAGGGGAAAGACTAAGGAACCTTTTGTGTTTGAAGGATCAACACATATGTGGAGGGGACGCTGGATCTCTTGGCACTGCTTATCATGCATCCTTTCTTACAACCAGAGAAGCAACAAAAAGAAGTGGTTCACATGGCTCCGAAGGCTGTAGTTAGATATTTCCCAGTGTTTGAAAAGGTAGGTAGCAGAGAAGCTCAAGAGCACAGTGTAACTGTACCACAAGCAGCTGACAGGGATTCCTCACTGCCCAGGGAGGAGAAAGCTGAGCAAAGACCTAACAGACTCCTCACAGCTAACAGCGGCCGTCAGCATGGAGCCCCCGGGCTCTATGAGCCACAGAGTATGAACACCACTGCTCTGCAGTCGGGAACTGCAGCCTCACCCCGTGTGTACATTATTATCCGTGCATACCACAAGTGCCACCCCGTGTGAGCCATAAAGAAGCTGAAATCACCTCATTCACTCATTCATTCAATACCTGTTGGCCAGCTGCTATGTGTCAGACATTTGCTTTCAGAGTTTGACAAAGAGAACCATTTCCATTTTATTTTTCTTCCTCTGCTCTTGTTTTGTTTTCTTCTTCTTACTGCTGTATCTGCTCTTCTGAGGTTTAAATTCCTTTTTTCTTTCTTTCACTAGGATGAGTTTTTTTTTTTTTTTTTTTTAATGTTTTAGTTAGAAACAAAATAAGAGAATGTCAAAATACAGACAGGCCTATTTGGTAACTCCTTCTTTAGGGCAGGAGAGTTAAGAAAAAGGAGAAAAGTAGGTTGAAATTTTCTGTAGCTGGGATCTACAGCATCCTTCCCAGAGAGGTTTGTGAGGTGGGAAAGGAGCCTAAGGAGATTTGTGTCTCCATGACACAGACGACGACAAGGCACCTGTGAGGTGCAGATTGTTACCCTTGCACATAGCGAGAGGGAACTGCAGGGGTTCAGTGAGCTGTCTGAGACATGGCTGGAGAATGGAGCTCTGGGCTCACTGTCCTATGCTGCTCTGGCTGCAGTGGCTGTGTTAGATTAGGAGCTGGGTTCCATCTGTCAGACATGCACACGCATGTGTGCACATGACCACCACTGTGGGCATCTGAAGATTCCCTGCCAGAGGGAGCTCCCGTTGGTTTCCACTGTTCTCTGCCTTTCCCTGATCAAAATGTGCTCTTCTAAATCCTTTTATCCACCTTACTCTTAAACTAGGAACCAACATGAACTTAGGAGTCTAATTTCCTGTTTTTGGAGATGGGCAAGGAAGTCTGCTTTTACAGCCACGTTTGGTTTATTGCAAGTCCTGCTGTTCATAGAAACAGAGGCCTGGGAAACAAGAGTGAGAGACAGGGAGACAGAACCATAGAAAGTAACTAGACTAGACTAACCCCAGTCAGATTTACAGCTGAATCTCTACCTCTACCTCTTGGGGCAGTTAAAATGGTCAGAGCACTGCATACCGAAAGGAAGTGAAGAGCAAAAGTTTCCTAGCTTCCTTCCATGACCCTTACACCTAACCACACCAACCCTGCTTTATCCTCTGGAGGCCGCAAGAGCGAGACCTCGAAGCTCCTCCGGTGAGACCTTGAATCACTTTTTAACTTCCCATTTCTTTTGCATTGCTGACTTTCTGTTGTGCGGTCAGTGACTGGCATGGTCCCTCCAGAAGGTGAATTTCTCCGCGGCTGAAAGTTCTTGTGTGTTTATCCTGAGGTGTCCTTGGCATGTCTATGAATTCCTATGCCCTCTTCCTTTTAAAATTTAAAACATTTAAAAATTTAATTAACGTAATAAGTATGTATATTTGTGGAGTATAGTGTGATGTTTTGATCTATGTATACATTATAGAAAGATTCAGACAAGCTAATTAATATATCCACAACCTCACCAATTTCCCCCTTTTTATGATGGGAACATTAAAAATCTATTTTTTTTTTTGGTGATTTTGAAATAGCCACTGCATTATTTATTAAGAGCGTAGTCACCTTACCATCCTACTCACCTGCAGGCTCAGAGATCTCAGGATTTCTGTGGTTGGGAGAGGTCACAGACCCCTCCTTCCTCTTCCCATATGTTCTCCATGTTCATTTCATCCTAAGGTTCAAGTTTTGTTAGTGAAGACTGAACCTAAACATGGTTTCTCTACCCAGGGAATTTGGTCATCCACGTGCCTTTTTCCTCTTCGTGCCTCCTGAAACAGTCAGGAGGCTTTTTTAGGAAGGTGCTGATATTTGCAATAAGCCACCATTAAAGAGGCCGTTTAAAAGGACTGAACCTTGACATCAGCCGATAAAGGAACTGAGCTTCTCTCAGAGTGAGGCTGTAGATCCAACGTGACCCAGAACAGGGAAGAATGGCTCCTAAACACCCGCAAGACTGTGAAACTTCTGGACACTGTGGTCCAGCATTCTGTATTTTAACAGCTAACCGTCCTAGCATAAATTGTATAAATGATATTCTGTTTCCTTTTCTATTTTGTTTTGTGCTTTCTTGTGAGACCTGTAAGCACAAGCCACTTCCTCAAGTCAAATCCCAGGCAGGGCCTGATGGTAGTCAGTTTGGCCATTCCCAGGCTCAGGACCCCAGAAACTGCATCCCTGGCAGCCAATGCAGGGCAAGGCCTTCGGCTGCAGGCCAGCAGTGTGCCGGTGGCCCCTGTTCTCACTGCTCCTTCGGAAGATTCCGTGGGGTGAAGGGTGAGAAGAGGAGACCCAGTTACTCTCTGTATTGCTCCAAGGGCTGCAGTGTTGTCAAGGCCCTTTACCTTTATCTCATCTGACCTTCTCGGTGATCCCAAGGTACTGGGACACTTGCTTTCTCTAACACCATACTCTGCTGTGAAAGACTGCAGATTGCCTCATGGAATTTTTTTTCTAAATGCAAGTGAGGACAGGAATACAAAAAGAAGTTTAGTGAGTGGGGTCTGAGGTAACCCACCCTTTTGGTGGCCAGGTAAGGAGCCAAATCCTAGCCCAACAGCAGAGTCCCCAGCTCCCATGGAACATCTCAGTTCAAACAGGGCTGCTTCCTTCAGGTCGTTAAAAAAAAATTTCTTTGGTAGGATCATTCGTGAATCCATTATATAACCTATTTTTTTTTTCTCCAGATATCAGACAGTCTGCCAGATTCGCAGAATACTTTGGTGCCTTGATACATATTGTTTATTCTTTTTTGTGTGCGTTTGTGGTACTGGGGATCAAACTCAGGACCTTGTGCTTGCAAGGCAGGCCGTGGCAAAATTGAGCTAATGGTACTGGGAATTGAACTCAGGTCCTCATGCTTGGGAGGTAGGCAGTAAAGGAAATCTTTTTTTTTTGTACTGGGGATTGAACTCAGGTCCTTGTGCTTACAAGTCAGGTGGCGGAACCACTGAGCTAAATCCCAGCCCTCTAGTTTATTCTTAAAAAATAAAAAATTGAACTAGAGCTTTTATGGACTAGGATCAAAAAGAATTTATATATAATTTAAAGATTAATTTTAAAGACTACTGATTCTGCTGATGAAAGAGAAGATCGATGGTGTCCAAGCAGTCTCCAACCCCTCCTCAGCCACTGTCCTCTTCCCCTAGGTGAGCAGGACAGCAGCCATCTTAGCCTCTGTCTGGTTTCAAGCTTGCTTTCTGAGTCTGAACTAGCTCGTGGCCCATGTGATAACCACGCTACCTATGGGCCTATGTGGTAGACTGTGTGGTAACATATGGTGTGAAACCATAGAGCCAAACTTATCTTGCGAACCCCTTTTGAGAAATTTATGGAAAACATGTTTTCTAAAAAATGTTTTTACCTTAAAGAAAAACATATTTTTACCTCTATAAGATGAGCACAGGTTGGGAATTTGGCACAGTGGTTTAACCACCTGCTGGGCCTGAGTTCGATGAGCACAAGTTTGTATCAAACGACAAAGCCTATAGTTGCTCTTCAGCTCAATCTTCTGGCTCAATGCTTGTGAACTTGGCCCTGGGTGCTGCTCTTTGCTCTGCGACTGTCACTCTGCCAGTCACGAATGGCTCCCCAACTGTATTGGTCTCTGCATTGCATGGGTTTCAGGGCTGCCACCTGCCCCGCCCCCTGTCTTCACAGCCTGTTGGCTGTTTCTAGCTTATGACACGAGTGAGCTCCCCTTTGTTTTGCTGTGAATGTGGTAAATGCTCAATACACCATTGCAGTCGGGAGACTGCTTGACTCCTGGAATTACTGTTTGACAGACGTGCTGACTCCCATTGGCTCCTCTGAGCCCCAGGGTGGCCTGACTCAGAGAGTCTTTTGATAACATCCTCACGAGTTAATCACTGTCTGGCTTCAGTGATTATTTTCTTGGTTTTCTTCATGGTTTTAGCTTTGCATATGTATTACTAAACAATCATTTTATTTTACCTGTTTTAGAATTGCTATAAATGGAGACTTACAAAGTAGTGTGTGTTAGTTTGCTCTTTAAATGTACTTAAAATTTTGCCCTGTAGGAAACTCTGGGCCAGAAGTCATGGCATCCAAAGCACGTCTCTACTACTTCTGTGGCAGGGGCAGGATGGGGTCAATCTGCCAGCTGCTGCTGCCGGAATGGAGGTTGGTTCCTGACTGGGAAGAGGAAGGAGGATAAGTGGGTGGTTATAGAAGTGCCTTTCCTCTTTCAAATTCAAGATGGCACCTCCAGCTTTTATCTCTCCTTCCTCTTTCCAAGGGTTGTTTGTTGGTATGAGAGTAGGGAGCGATCATAGTCCCAAGGAGCAGGGGATAAGGAAAGGGAGGTGTGGGGTGTTTTGGTAGCTTCGTACATGTTAAAAAATTTTGGTAGATAGCAAGAATAAGAAGAGAGGGGAGACGCATGTCTGACTCATTCTTTTCCTTGAGATCTGCAGATTTTCTAGGGTGTTTTCATCCCTACCTCAGCATCTCAGTCATTTAATACCCATGCTGTCAGAACTTTTTGTCTCACAAATGTTCCCCGACTCTGAGTTCCTTCCCCGCTGACTTTTTTTCACGGGCATCTTGGAATTGTTTTGTGCAGACATAAACTTCCTTTCCTTGTTTCATATCTCCTCTGGAGAAAGGGCTCATGCTCTCTTTTCCTCTTTTGCTTTTAAGAATATCTCCCCTATGGTGCAAACTGTAAGTATCACCCCCACAAAAACTTTATAACCCCATCAATAAATTATTATAAGCCCACCTGAGTAATGATCTTTAGCTGTCTTCCTTTGATTATATGAGCATCAAAGAGAAATGTAATTTGTCTGGATGTGGAGGGAGAATAACACAGATGAGAATGAAAAAAAGGAGAACAAAGAAAAGGAAGAGGAGCCACTGGAAAACTGGTGACAAGGACAAGAATTTGGAGACTTAAATAAAAAAAAAAAGAATTTGGAGACTTAAGGTGAAGTAAAGGTGGCTTGGGACTTGAAATAGGCAAAACTTGAAAAGGGCTGGCTGCTAGTCCCATTTCATCTAAGCTGAT